GACTGTCCGCGGCAGGGACGGCGGGGCTGGGGGACTGAGTCTCCAATTCCCCTCCGCAGACGTTCCTCGTGCGGAAATCCAACACGCGCCGGTGCCAAGCGCTGTGTGTGCGGCTGCCCGAGGCCGGCCCGTCCTTCGTTGCCAGCCACTACGTACTGGAGCGCCCCGGGGGTAAGCCGGCTGCCCCGACCCCCTGCGGCCAGGGCTGGGAGCGGCGGGCAGGGTAGGGGGCCCTCGGGGGACTCCTGACCTCCCATCTGTCAGGCGTCTCCTTGGAAGGCTCAGAGCTCACCTTCCCAGACCTGGTGCATCTCATCTGTGCCTACTGCCACAGCCGGTGAGTCTGCCCACGGGAGCCTGTGTCCCAGAGCCCCCCCACCCCACCCCAGGAAGCCCCCACTCATTCCTAACTACTCCCCAGGGACATCCTTCTGCTACCACTGCAGCTCCCCAAAGCCATTGACCAGGCAGCCACCCACAAGGAGCTGGAGGCCATCTCCCATCTGGGCGTCGGTAAGGGCGCCCCTGCCACGCACCTGCAGCATAGGTGGGCACACTGAGTGAGGCCCACAGGCCTCTCCTATGAGTGGACCTCCACGTGGCTTCTCTCCACCAGAGTTCTGGAGCTCCGCCCTCAACGCAAAGGCTCTGCGGGACCCCAGGGAAGGCCCCCTGCCACTCAGGCTGAAGCCCAGCTCCCCTGAAGAGCCGGACCAGGGCCCCACCAGCACAGCCCTGTGCTTCTTCAACCCCCTGTTCCCAGGGGACCTGGGCCCCACCAAGCGGGAGAAGTTCAAGAGGAGCTTCAAAGTGCGCGTGTCCACGGAGACCACAGGCCCCCTGTCTCCACCGGCTGTGCCACCTCCCCCTGTCCCCGTGCTGCCGGGGACCGCCCCCAGCCAGCCAGCCAGGCTGCCCCCTCGGCAGCTGCTGCGGAGAGAGAGCTCGGTGGGCTACAGGGTGCCAGGGGGTGCCAGCCCCAGCCTCCCACCCCTACCCTCTCTCCAAGAGGTAGACTGTGGCTCTCCCAGCAGCTCAGAGGAGGAGGCACCACCAGGGGCCCTGGGGAGCTCAGCGACCTCCCCCGGGCTGGGCAGGCGCCACCGCCACCGGCCCCTGCTCCGATCCATGAGCTCTGCTTTCTGCTCTCTACTGGCTCCTGAGCGGCAGGTGGGCCGGGTGGCAGCGGCACTGGTGGGGGACCGCCACACGGCCGTGGGCCAGCTGGTACAGGACCTGCTGACACAGGTGCGGGCGGGGCCCAAGCCTCTAGAGCTCCAGGTCGTCCGAGAGGCGCTGAGCCAGGCCCGGGCCATGCTGAGTGCCGAATTGGGGCCAGAGAAGCTGCTGCCACCTGTGAGGCTGGGTGAGGCCCACTGGGAGTCCCAACCTCGGCCAACACCCAACCAAACCCCACTGCCATTGAGTCGATGCTGACTCACAGGTTGAAAATCTTAAAGGAGGCAGCCAGCCTCATCTTTCTCTCAAGGACTTGAACTGCCAACCTTGTGGTTAAGCAACCCCAAAACTAACCCACAGCGCCTACGCCTCCTTTTGGATCCCACCCCAGCCAAGCCCCGCTCAGTGCTTCTCTCCACCATCCCGGCCTGCCACGTCCCAGCTTCTAAGCTGTGCTTCACAAATCCCCCTGCCATTCCTCTTTTCAAGTGAATTCCATTCCGGCCTCTCCCTACTCCAGGGCTACCCCAGGCGCCTGCCTTTGCTCCTCCCACACCCTTCCCAGGTCTGCCCACCTCCCCGTGCTGCCCCCACTCAAAGTCCTGGCCCTCCTGACCACCTGGGTCTCCTCCACAGAGCATGTGCTGGAGAAGTCTCTGCACCGCTCCGTGCTCAAGCCTCTTCGGCCCATCCTGGTGGCCCGCCTGCGGCGCCGGCTCTCTGCCAACAACTCCCTGGGCCGCCTGGCCGAGGGCTTCCGCCTGGCCCGGGCACAGGGCCCCGGAGCCTTCGGAGCCCACCTGAGCCTGCCCTCTCCGGCAGAGATAGAGCAGGTGCGCCAGAAGCTGCTGCAGCTGCTCCGTGCCTACTCGCCCAGCGCCCAGATCAAGCGCCTCCTGCAGGCTTGCAAGCTGCTCTACACGGTCCTGAGGACCCAAGAGGGTGCGCCCCTCCCTCCCCTGCCGCCCAGAGAGGAGGCACTCCTTCCCTAGCGCCTTCCACCTGGTGGCCTTAGGAATCTCCCCGGGGAGGAGAGTCCAGCCTCCACAGGCACTAACCCCAGACAGGAGCCTGAAGCCTTGCCACTCCCCCTCGTGTCCCCCCAGGGGAAGGTGCCGGTGCAGATGAGTTCCTGCCACTGCTGAGCCTGGTCCTGGCCCAGTGTGACCTTCCTGACCTGCTGCTGGAGGCCGAGTACATGTCCGAGCTGCTGGAGCCCGCTTTGCTCACTGGAGAGGGTGAGGGACCCCTGCCTTCTCTCCCAGGACTCTGGCTGGGCAGGGGCTCAATGTGAGCTGGAGCTGCCTCTTCCCCCTTGTGTCCCAGGCGGCTACTACTTGACCAGCCTCTCTGCCAGCCTGGCCCTGCTGAGCGGCCTGGACCAGGAGCTTGCCCTGCCCCTCAGCCCCTCCCAGGAGCTGCAACGCTCCCTTCGCCTGTGGGAGCAGCGCCGCCTGCCGGCCACCCACAGCTTCCAGGTAAAAGCCCTCACACTGCCCCACCCTGCTGTGTAGGTGAGGGCTGTCAGCCAGGACAGTGAGGGCAAAGGGCTGGTCCCTTCCAGGAAGAGGAGGGATGGGATAGCTGTGCTGAGCACATTCAGGCCTTCATCCTGTGAATCTGTACATCCTGGCTGGGGGCAGACATGACTGGGAGTTGGAAAGAGGGACAGATGATAGGCTCAGGCCTCCAGACACCAGCCCTCCCCTCCTGTAAATGGAGCCAGGCACCAGGCAAGGACCTGGCCTGTAGCCCTGGCCACCTGCGTGTCTTCAGAGCCAGGCTCCACCCCTGGCCTCTCCATCCTGCCAACAGGACCATCCTGGCTTCTGTTAAATGTCTAGACTCGATGTTCAGATCCAAGCTCTGCTGCTTCCTGGTGGTAGGCACCTTGAGCAAGCCACCTAACCTTTTGTATCTCAATGCTCCGGCCTGTAAAGTGGGTTCATTGTGCCCACCTCCAGGGGCTGAGTAAATACTCGGGCCCGTGCTTCGAAAGGCACCTGAGGCAGGCAGGGTCAGGCCAGTTAAACATCCCGTCATTGTCAGGCTTGGAAAAGCCTGCAGCTGTGAGCGAGTCACCCAGCCACCTCACTCCCTTCCACCTTACTCCTCTTGACATGTATCTGACCCCCAAAGCCTCGGACTGTTAGCTCTACACCCAAGTTACAGGCACCCCACCCTGTCTTGACGGAGCCAAGACATAAGAGTCAGACATACCTTACACCAGACTGGACTGACAACTTATTCCTATTCCTCCTGCCTTAGCACCTCCTCCGAGTGGCCTACCAGGACCCCAGTAGTGGCTGCACGTCCAAGACGCTGGCTGTACCCCCAGGGGCCTCCATTGCCACCCTCAACCAGCTCTGTGCCACCAAGTTCCGAGTGACCCAGCCGGACACCTTCGGCCTCTTCCTCTACAAGGAGCAGAGCTACATCCGCCTGACCCCCAGAGCCCTGGCCCACCAGCTGCCCGCCACCGGCTATCTGGTCTACCGCCGGGCAGAGTGGCCAGAGGCCCAGGGGACCTCCCCGAGGACTTCAAAAGAGAGAGAGGGCAGGGGGGCACCGGAAGCAGGGGGCAGGGAGGAGGAGGAAGGAGCCCCAACAGATGGGGGTGCTGAGGACAAAGGCAGCCCTGGAGACAAGGGGCAAGAGCCTGAGAGGACTGTGGAGGGAGGGGAGAGCCCGGCCCTGGAAAGCCCTGGGGAGTCAGAGCAGCCAGAGGCTGAGGTGTAGCTGGGGCTGGCTGGAGGGGCCACCGGGGCTCTGGGTTGTTGGAAAGCCCTGCTGAGCCTCAGGCCTCCAGCCTTCCCCTCCACCCTGCCAGGCCCCTGTGCTGGGTCTGCATTCACCCCTCTGTGTGGTGTTATCTTCAAGCCCATCTCCCGAGGGTTTGGGGGCCCCAGGCCAGGTGCCCTTGCCTCTGATCCTTCTCTGCCCTGCAGGGCTCAAGCTGACAGCCATGGGGGGCAAAGGGTTCTGTCCCATCTGCCCCTGAGGGGGCAACTGGTCAGAGCTACTGGCCCAGCTCAGCCCAGTTGAAGGTCTGCATCTGTGAAGCGGGAGGAGCTGGCTATCCTGTCTGCCCCGGGCGGGTGTGGTGTGGGCCCAGTGTGGGTTGCAATCTCCACGGGGGGGTAAGATGTGGTGCTTTCCCTGTCCCCAGGGCTCTGGCTGGGTGACCAAAGACACTTTCCCAAGCTGGGGGAGTCCGGCACCCCCGGGGGAGGTCACAGTGGTGGGGGGCGGCTTGAAAATCCTCAGCCCTTTTCCGAGAAGGCAGGGCCTGGCTTATTGGCCCCGCCAAGGTTCAGCAAAGAAAGGTGACCCCCAAGATGTCACCCAGAAAGTCATTGGGGCCTCCTCCCCCCCAAAACGGGGCCCTGGAGTCTGTACAAAACGAAATCCATCCCCGAGGGCACCGCGCTCCCTTGAAAGGGGCAATCCGCGCTTCTGCGCAGAGAATACCGTCGGCCGCGCGGGGGCGCGCCCGGGCCGGGAAGCTGCGAGAGGCGGGGAGCGGGGGCTGGGCAGCAGCTGGACTGCCCGGGCCTGACCAACTCTTGCAGTCGCTAGGTAACCCTACCGGGGCAGGGCAGCGTTCTAGGGGGTCAGGCAGAAGATCCCTGATATGGGAGAGGATACCCACCATTCAACAAGGAGTCTCCCTTGGACACTGAGCAAAGTCAGGCGTGGGCACTGGTTTTTCGGACAAGCCCCACCACTCAGCCCAGGGGTGGGTGTGCCAGCCAGCCTCCCTTCCTCCCCTGCCACCACCCCCACCCCGGCTTCTTGCTAGTAGGGAGTTCGCCCTTCGACCTTTTGTACACCCCGCCCGCAGCGCCGGGAGGGCCTGCGTCCTCCGTGGGCGCTTAATAAACGTTGCTCGTGGGCGTCTGATACCGAAGAGCAAGGTGGGCACCTGGGGAAGTTGCGGGAAGGGAGGGCTCTGGGATCCAGACACAGGATGTGCCAAATTCAGCCCCAGAGGGGGACCTGGAGTGGTTGCACGGAGTTCTGGGAGGACCTCAGGGATTGGATGTAAAGAGTCTCCTGGGAACTGGCCTCTGAGACCTCTGCTAGCTCTTCACAGCCCCCTGCCTCCCTCTTCTCCACTCCCTCCCCACCTCTGTCTGGGAATGCAGGCTTACCACCCCCATCCCCCCCGCTGGGGGGCTTGGCCTGCAGCCTGGGTCTTCTAGTTGGTCAAGGGGCCAGCTTGGGTAAATCATGACCAAAGGGATGCTCCAGGTAGGATGGGAGGCCAGTCTAAGAAACACCCACCACCACCAGGTCGATTCCCAAGAGCAGCATCCAGCTGATAGGACAGTTCCCAGGCTTTGCCCACAGCCTCTTCTTTCTCCCTGGGAGCACCTGGTGGGTTTGAACTGCTGACCTTGAGGTTAGCAACCTAAAGCTCCCTGGGTAGTGCTGCTTAGCCCAGTCTAAGGGTGGTCTCATTCTTAAGAGGAGGGCACCCACCAGGGCTTGCTGGGGGGAGAGGGGAGTGGCTTGTTTAAGGGCCGAGGCGCACGTGTGTTTGTTTATTGTCAACCTCCCCGCTCGCTCCTCCAGCCGGCCTTGTTCCCAGCTAACACCGGAGCCAGGACCAGGCACTGACTCACTGGGCGCGGAATGATCCGAATGTGGCGCACCGCCCATCGCTGCCGCGCGGGGGCGAGCGCGTCCCTTTCCCAGCCCTGTGCGCGATCTCGTTCTCTGCGGAGGCCAGAGAGAACGGAGCATGGGGACAGGGTCCTAAGAATGAGGGAGGGGCTGCCCACCCAGGAGTGCACCCCCAGGCGGGCCCAGAGGCTGGCGTTCTGTCTTGCCCTGGTGGGGAACTAAAGTCTGCCTAAGGGGAGGCCCTGGTTGGAGGGAAGACAGTCACCCAGACCCCTCTTCGGAGATGCAGGGACATCAGGAGACCTGTAGGGGACACTCTGATCGCTGGGATCACTCAAGTTCACCTACAGCCCTCCTCCAATGGCTACCTTAAAGGCAACACTCACCAGCCATGGTGGGGGTGAGGGGGGGTCACCACATCTACTCAAGTCTACAGCATGACTCAGAATCACGATCACACACAAGCACGCTGGCCCACCGGAAGTGTGTGACCTGCTGTCATGGCCCCAGGAACACTGACACCCTCAGCCACTCACCCCCTTCAGGACCAGACTTAACTCTCCTCTCCGGAGTCACACCCTGACACTACTGTCCAACACACCCATCAGAGAGCCAGGATCCGCCGCACACCCCCGGAAACTTCCTCCACCCAGTTCGGCGTGACTAACACATTCCCATGGAGAAAACATGGAGAAGACACATGGTGACAAGCCGATGACACACTCGGGCCAATCTGCCACATAGCCAGAGACAGGCAGACACAGGGGCACACATGGTGGCCTGCTGCACAGGGACTGACACCAACCCATGCAGAACTGTCACTCACACCCCAGGTCCTACTCAGACACACACACAACCCCCCCCATCCACATACATGCACACAAGCACACACGGAGACAAACACACGTGCATACAGAGAGGCACCAACACATGTTTTTTATCGGCTCTCTCCTGGCCTCTACTCCCTGTCCTCATCCACCCCACCCGGTGGCAGGCTCAGAGGGATGGAGGGAGAGGCTGAGCAGACCCTCACATGGGGGTGGTGACCCCACTGGCCAGGCAGGAGGCAGAGGCAGGCAGTGCTGGGCGGGGTGGCCTGAGCTCATCAGATTCCAGCCTGAGTGATTCACAGGAGCGCCTGGGGAGGGTCTGGGCGGGGCCCTGGTCCAGAGGCTAGCACTTTGGGGGCCTGGGTGGGCTTTGCACCCAAGAGGCCTGGATCTATAGCAAGACTTGAGGCTAGGATTGGGGGGGGGGCGCTTCCAAGGTGCTCACTGGGCTTGCCAGGGTGCTCACTGGATGGGGGGAGGTGCTCCTCCAAACACCACAGAGCTCAGTCTCAGCATGAGACAATCGGCACCTCCCATCCACCCCACCCCAGGGCCTGGACACTGGACATGGACCCCACGCCTCCCCAACCTCAGCTAGCTTTCTTGAGGAGGGAGTGGGGAGTTAGGGACAGCGTGGGTGACCTTTAGGACCTGTCTTGGCCACTTGACCAAGGCAGAGTGAGCCCCAGAGTTCCAGGGTGCTGAGAGGGTTACAGACCCGAGTGGCCCTGCCAGGGACGGCCTCTGCCAGAGCTGAGTGAGGACACGAGGCTGTCCTGGCGCCAGGGATGCTTTCCCGCTGAGATCGGGCCCTCTGCTCCTGCCACCCCAGAGCGCCCATCTCCCGCTGCTGCTCCGAGGCGGGTGCTGGGGCCTGGCCAGCTGCTTGTGCAGGGTGACAGGAAGAAAGGCTGATGCAGAGGGGGTGGGGGGACACAGGAAGTGCCTATCTTGGAACTTTGCACCAAAATAGTCTGTTCTGTTCCTATGCAGGGTCTCAGGTTCCCACGGGGAGGGAGGTGTGTGTCACCAAGGAGACCCTGCAGGGAGGGGGCGTGAGCTGACCTTCGGTTGGCTGCTACTCCCAAGGCCCCATCCCCGTGCCCCCCCCACCCCACCCCCACCCCGCCAGGCCTCTGCTCCACTTTGAAGTCCTAACATAAATATCATGTCTGCTTGGGTTCCCCTTCCCAGCCTGGTCACAGCCCCCAGACCTGGCTCTCACCCCAGCCTGCCCTGAGGGGGCCAGTGAGGGGGAGTGGGGGTTTTGGAGTGGGGGAGGTGAAGGGAGGCCAGGACCACCCAGGGACGGCCAGTCCTGGTGGTGACAAGCCAGAGATCCCAGAGACAAACAGGGAGATGGATGGGGGAGAGACCCCCAGAGGCAGAGAGGGGAGGGACAGAGTGGCTGAGAATGGAGACAGATGGAGAAGCCCACCAGAGAACGGTGGGGGAAAAACAGCCCCAGAGGAGAGGGACAAAAGGGGAAGGCAACTCGGAGGCCCTTGGGGACAGAGAGGGGCAGGAATAGGAGGCCGTGGGACAAAGAAGAGAAAGTAAATGGGGTATAGAGAACGGTCCAGTGTGTGGGTGGGATAGCAGTGCAAGGGTGTGGTAGAAAGAGAGTCATCCACCCAGGGGTGGTGGTGGTTGGGGGGGATGGGGATTGCTGGGCTTAAACCAGAGCAGCCCTCAGCAAACTGGGCCCAGTGGGTCACCCGAGATGGCCAGGCTGCTCCCTGCATAGATGGGGAACCTGAGCTCTGAGAGGGCAGGCTGGGACCATCCGGGAGCACACGGAATTCCACGCCTTGCACCACTGGCTTTCCACCACTTTGGGGACCCCGAGGTGAAAGGCACCAGGGATGGAAAAGTTCTGAGTGGTAGCTTGGCCCAAGAGCCCTCAGCCTGGCCCGGCTGGGAGGCCTAGCACTGGGTACCCATTCACACACTGCCCTGCCTCGGAGCACCTGGGCAAGCCCCACCCTCTGGCAGACAGGTACACAGCAATGAGGCCCCACGGTTGGGAGCCAATGTGGGGGGCAGTCATCTGCTTCTGCCTCACAAGTACAGACACAGGCACAGGTGTGCGGGGCTGTGCAAACGCTCGCACACACACGCACACGCACACACAGGCCCACTCCCAAGCCTCCTCTCTCTGACAGGGTACCCCTCCAGCTGGTGGACTCTCCCAGAAGGCAATGGGGCTGGACAACACCCCTTCTTCCTGGGCCCCACCTCCCCTAGACTGTCCCTCTACCCTCTCCAGGCCCAATCCCCCGCCCCCACCCCAAGCATACAGGAGGCTCTTACCAGTGGAAAGGAGAAGCCCAAAGCCCCCTCCCTCCCAGTGTCCCCTCCTCTTCCCCACCCGCCTGCCCACCCAGGGACCTCGCCCACTTCTCCTCCCCAGGCTCCCATCAAGTTGAGGCAAGCAGGCACCTCCTGCTGCGCCCCCTCCTGTGCTCCACCCCCCACCCCCCATTAGACCTTCCTTCTGACAGCCCAAAGGCCCCCAGTGGTTTAGGAAGCATTTAGAAATGCAGGGAGCTGGGGGAAGGGCTGAGTAGGGGAGGTGATTTGTATACAGAGTAATGTGCTGGCTCAGCAGACAGAAGCCTGCCTAGGGCGCCCCCATCGCTCTCCACCCCCACCCTGGAGGCTCCACCAGGCCTCTCAGGCCGGCCCCTCTGCAGGCCTCTCGCCCCCTCACCCCCGTGGACCCACACTGGGCGTCTCAAACCACCAGGCCTGTGCTTGTCCCAGGATGGGGAAGACAAGGTCCTCTCTAGGGAGAGCACTTAAGTGGTCATGCCCCTCTCCAGGGGAGCTCATCCCAGATGGGCCTGGGTAGCAGCAGGGAGCCCTAGCCCCCCACCCCCACCCCCCAAGGTGACCTGAACCCCACAGTCCAGCTTGGAAAAGACCAGGCCTCATCCCCACCCCTTTCCTCCTTCTCCAGCCAGGGCCAATGGGGAAAACAGGCTGTGCGGAGAGGGAGGGGCAGGCTGTCCCACTCCTGCCCTGTGCTCCTGCTCCTTCCGGGCCTACATTCATTATGGGGCTGCTGGTCATGAATCTGAACCCCACTTATGCGGATGTCTCTGTATCTTCTCATCCACACACCCATCTATCCACTCCTCCATTCCTACATCTACCCATCTTCCATCTCTCACCTCCGCATCCATCCAAGCATGCATGGCACTGGTGAGCAATGATCTTCGTGCTGGCTAGAGGGTACCGAGGTGAGTCAGGGACAACCAGTCTAGGAGGAAGCGTAAGACCCCAACCAGCTCCCTCTCTGCTCCCCAGCCCTTCGCACCCAGAGCATCAGGGGATGCTTTGCTCACCATATGTGGGGTAGCCTCAACCCACCTCCTCCGCGCTGGAGGGGACAAGTGAGTGCCAGGTGCCCGCCCAAACTGGACTCCCAGGGGCCTTCCTGGGACTCATTCTCTGTCCACCATGCCTTGTTGTTGGCAGGACCCTCCGTTCCCAAGGTGACCCACTCAATACAAGTGGAAGTTGGTCTTTGACCCTCTTCCCCCAGGTCCTCTAGCCTGCCACCCCCCACCAACTCCCCACCCTGACAAGGTTGGGGTCCCAACCTCAAATCTGACCCATCCACTCGCCAGACGGGCTGCAACCTCCCCTTGGCTGCTCCAGCACAGGACACTGCCCGGATTATGACTGGGCTCGCCACACCCTTGGACTGGGCTCCCTGCCCCCAGCCCCTGCCCTGAGGAGTCTCCAGAGGCTGCCTCCCCCAGACCGGCCCGCCCTGCTGCCCTGCTCTCTAGCCAGCTCTCCTCCCCTCTCCCAGACTATTTCAATAGTCTCCTAACCGGCCCTAGCCTCGAGCACCCACCACCCACCACACTCAGGCCACGACCATCTCCCACCCACAATTGACCACAAACGAGGGGGGGCAACTCAGCGTCTTCCAAGCCAGGCCCACCCCCTTCCTGGTTCTGGCCTCTCTAGATGGTCCTTACTCTCCACTGCTGGCTCTAAACCCATTTTGAGCACTCCTGTCTCGGGACCTTCCCCTGGGTGGTACCCTTGCCCTGTGCCGCCTTCCTCCATCTTCACTTCTTCTTGGGCTCTGCAGGGGGCCGCAGCTCAAGAGAGCACTGGGCAAGGAGTCCAGTACGATGACCAACTTGTTCTGAGTCTCGCTGACCTCCTCCACTGGCTGATTGTCAGAGATCTCCCTGTTCTAGGGTGATCTGGATTCATGGAGGAAGGCTGGGTAGGTTCGGGGAGCAGGTGGGCTCTGGTTGCAAGCAAAATGTCAACCTGCCAGGGCATCACCCCGAGGCAGCCCTATATGCCCTTCCTCTCCTACTGAGCAGCAGCCTGGTCCCGCTGGATTTAGGCGGTGGGCATCAAGCAGAGGTAAGACAAGGATGCTGCAGGAGTTCCCAACGGGTGGGCACTATCTGCCTCCCAGGAGGCATTTGCCAGGGGCCTAAGACATTTTTAATGGCCACAACTGGGGAGATGCTCCTGGCATCTAGTGGGCAGAAACCAAAGATGCCGTTGTTAAACAACCTACCATTCCTCAGCAAATAAATCTCCAAGGTAAAGATCAAGGCTGGGAAGCCTGGACTGGAGGGATGGGGCCACAGATGCAAAGGAAGACAATGGAGCAAGATCTGGGGGTTGGTGGGTCTCAGGGGCCATGGGGCTCTGATTGCTTGAGCAGGGAGACCTGAAGGAAGTGACAGGACACTGCAGGAAGGGTAGCGCTGGCCTGAGGTGGGTGCTGGTCAGGGAGTCAAAGGCAGGGAGCGGAGCTGGAGCAAAGACCCTGATGCAGAGATGGAGCGGGTCACTGTGAGTTTATGAAATGCTCGAAAGGCAGAGTGCCTGGAGCAGAGGGAGCCAGGGCCAGGAGAGATCTGGGCAGACCACTGGCCCAAGGTCATGGCCAGATCTCAGCCTTCCCCCCAAGAGGGATGAGGCCAGGAGGCGTTTGAAGCAAAGGGGTCTGATAGGAGGAGTCTGAAAGGGCCCTTCTGGCTGGCTGTCATGTGCAGAGGGATACAGAGACTCCTGGGAGGCTGTCTCAGGCTCTCAGGCAGGAGATGATAGTGGCCCAGGCAAGTGGCAAAGGAGGCGTCCAGAAGTGGCTAGATTCCGGTTCCTTCTGGAAGGTGTGGCCGGTGGGATTTGCTGGGAGATTGGACATGGGGTGTGGGGGAGAGACGAGTCCATGATGATCTCAGGGCTTGGGGCCTGAGCCAGTGGATGGATGAACTGCCCTGGGTTGACTTACTGCTCCGGAAAGGAAGGGAATTCTGTTTCACAGCCGAGACCTGGCAGAAGGACCTCCTTCCTGGGCAGACAGCAAGCATCCCCTGCACCCCGGGCTCTCAGGGTGTGGGCTCCATCCACCAGGCCAGCCAAAGCATTGCTAGGTGGTCCCCTACCCCTACCCCATGTGCTCCAGACTGAAGAACATTTGCCTCACCGCGGCAGCAGCTGACAAAACACGTTTGCAAACACTGCAAGCTCTGAGACAATCACCCTGGGGAATCCAAGAGGCCAGGACACTTGACCCTCAACGTGTAAATAAGGAAAATGCAGGCCCAGAGAGGGTCAGCCACTTCTCGCAGGTCATGCAGCAGAGATCAGTGGCTAAGTGGGAAGATGGGCCAGGGCTGGGGCTCAAACGTGAGCTCAGAGTGCAATGGGTGGGCAGGGGTTAACCAGCCTACCCAGCTCCCAGGGACTGTGGGGGATGGGCTCAGCCAAGGGCCTTTGGAAGGGACAGGCTGAGGACCCTGGCCAGGATCGTGCTGCAGGGCTCCACTCACGTGACACCGTGTCATATACAAGGGTATGTGTCATTGTGAGCCCGTGCCCATACATGGACTCGAACCGGGTCCCTCACCGCCAGCCTACTTCACCCAGAGTGGGCCCTGGCCCCTCCCCCAAGCCCCCTGCCCTCCCGTAGGCGGAGCACTGAAGGCATTTCCTGTTTGGGGGCTGCCCGTCCCTCCCCCTTCTAAACCCAGGTTTCTGGGCCCCCAGGTTAAGCCGGGTGAGGGGAGGGCAGCCCCAGCCTTGAGCTCTGGTAGGCCTCTCCACTCCTTCCCACTCTGGCTCCGGGGTCCTGGGAAGCTCCTCCGGCTGGGAGAGAAAATCAAGGGCTTATCTTTAAAGAAAGACGTCGCTGCAAAGTGACCTGGAGGTTCCCATGGGGCAGGATGGGGGGTGTGGGCGTCATATGTGGAGGCCTATAGAACGCACACCATCTTTGTGCACCAAAGAGGTTTAGCATGTCAGCGCGCATGCCTGCGTGGGAAAAAGCTGCAGGTCGGCGTGGGTCTGCATCGAGGGCAAGGGACAGAGCG